TACAACTCAAACGCGGAAGTCTAAAATATCATCCCAAAACCCGAAAACTCACGGGAAACACACGCTAATAGAACTGTAATACACTGCTCTAAACTCCAGAATTTGTCTAAACAAAAGTACAAAAGAAGTCTAAACGCTACAAGATAGAGTAAGAAGGAGACTCTTTGGTCTGCGGACGCTGCAGATGTACCTCAAAGTCTTCGTAGCTCTCCCTGCCTCAAGGATAGTGCGCCTGAGTGGAGGTACCTAGATCTGCACATGAAAAACATGCGCAGAAAGGGCATGAGTACACCACAGCGGTACTCAGTAAGTGCCAAGCCTAACCTCGGTTGGGTAGTGACGAGGAAGGTCAGGGCCCTACTGAGATAAAATATAATAATAAATCTTGCAACAGCATAAAAAAATAAACAGAAATAACTAATAAAATTATGAAGTAAGACAAGTTATACGAAGCAACAATAGCACGCAGAGAATAAGGTAACACAGAGTGAAACAACTCAATATCAGTACCAACAACGAGGATCTCCCAGGATACCGTCCTGTGTACATTTCATCAACTGTCCGAGGAGCTCCCGGGATACCGTCCCGTAGTCCACCACATGAGTATATCCGAAGGATCTCCCGGGACACCGTCCCGTAGTCTAACTATCAATGTGCAGGGGGGGGATCTATCCGGAATCTAACCCGCAGTCCCAAAGTAAATGTGCAGGGGGATCTATCGGGAATCGAACCCGCAGTCCCAAAGTAAACAAACAAGGGGGAGCTACCGGAATCCCACATCCGTAGTCCCAATGTAAATGCACAACCACAACCAGAAGACATTCGAAAATGAAGTACGAAAATACAAACAACAGGTAATACTAGCCTAAAATGCTTCACGTAGTACAATTAAGGCAACTTAAGCAAATAGGCAATTTAAATCAACCAAACATACTTTTCTGATCTAACACAGGTTATAATTGCAAGTAGAATTAAGCAAATTCGAAAGAGACTCAATCTCAATATCTTAAGTAAAAACCCGATTTTCAACAATTAGCTCAAGGACGCGCCCGTCACCTCACGTACAAGGCATTCAATTACCAAATATCATGTCCTAAGGGGAAAGGTCCCCACACAAGGTTAGACAAGCCACTTACATCAACCGGTTCAAAAAATCAACTTGAAATCACTCTTTTGCCACGAGTATCCGACTCCAAATGGACCAAATCTATTCATTTTAATTACATCTCGTAAATAACATCTCAAGCAACTAATTCTACTATTTAATTTACAGCTAAGACGCAAATTTAGGTAAAATGACCAAAATGCCCCTCAGGCCAACGTGGTCAAAACCCGAGGTTCGAACCAAAACCCGGTTACCCATTCCCACACGAACCCAAATATATAATCTGTTTTTAAATCGGACCTCAAATTAAGGTCCAAATCCCCAATTTTAAAAAAACCTAGGTTCTACCCCAAACCCCCAATTTCACCCATGAATATCATTGATTTTAAGTGGAAAACATGTTAACTGATGTAAATGATTGAAGGAATTAAGTAACAATCGACTTACAAATGATTTGGAAGAAGTTTTGTCCTTGAAAAATCGCCTATGGGGTTTGGGTCTTGAAAGAATGGTGAAAAATGGTGGAAAATCGACTAAGTATGAAATTGCTGGGTCTCAGTTATCTCTATGGCGAACTAGGGTTCGCAATTGCGAACCTCGACCAAATGTGGTAATTGCGAAGCTAGGTTCGCATTTGCGAACCCTTACTATTTTACCAGATTTCGCATTTGTGAACATAAAGATCGCATTTGCGATCAGCTTAATTTCGCATTTGCGAGCACAAGGATCGCATTTACGATCAGTGCCCAGGAATCCCTCGTTCGCATTTGCGAGAAAATGGATCGCATTTGCGATCATATGCCCAGGCCCAATCCTTCGCAATAGCGATGCATAGCTCGCATTTGCGAGCTCGCAATTGCGAGGCTCATCTTCGCAAATGCGAAGATCACACAGGAAATCATACCAGATTTTTTTCAAGTTCAAAAATGCAACCCAACACCTATCCAAAACTCACCCGAGCCCTCGGGGCTCCAAACCAAATATGCACAAAACCTCAAGAACATCCTACGGACTTATCCGTGCGATCAAATCGCCAAAATAACATCATATACATCGAATCGAGCCTCAAAACTCATGACTTCCTCCAAATTTTCATAAAACATCAAATTCCCATTTTAAGTCCGGAACGCGTCAAACGACGTCCGTTTTCAACCAAACTTTACAGAAAGCGCTTAAACCATATATAAGACTTGTACCGGGCGCCAGAACCAAAATACGGGCCTGATACCATAGTCTTTTAATCAAATTTCATTTCCAATTTCCTTAATTATTTTCAGAAAACAATTTCACACAAAAATTCATTTCTCGGGCTCTGGACCTCGGAATTCGCTTCTGGGCATACACCCAAGTCCCATATTTATCTACGGACCCTTCGGGACCGTCAAATCACGGGTCCGGGTTCGTTTACCCAAAAAGTTGACTGGAGTCAAATTTATTCAACTTAATATCAAAATTTAGCATTTTTCTCAGAGAATTCATATATAAGCTTTCCGGCTACGCGTTCGGACTGCGCATGCAAATCGAGGCAACCCCAGATGAGGTTTTCAAGACCTCGGAAGTACAAAATGGGTAAGAAACAAGTGATGACCCCTTTGGGTCGTCACATCCTCCACCACTAAAACAACCGTTCATCCTCGAACGGACAAAAGAAAGAAGTACCCAAGTCGGGAAAAAGATGAGGATAACGACTCCGCATTTCAGACTCGGACTCCCAGGTCGATGCCTCAGGAGGCTGACCTCTCCATTGGACACGAACAGAAGGAAAAGTCTTGGATCTCAACTGACAAACCTGCCGGTCTAGAATAGCTACCGACTCCTCCTCATAGGACAAGTCCTTGTCCAACCGGACAGTGCTGAAATCTAACACGTGGGCTGGATCGCCGTGATACCTCCGAAGCATGGATACATGAAAAACTGGATGCACGACTGATAGGCTAGGCGGCAATGCAAGTCTATAAGCCACCTCTCCCACTCGATCAAGAATCTCAAACGGACCAATGTACCTAGGGCTAAGCTTGCCCTTCTTCCCAAATCTCATCACGCCTTTCATAGGCGATACTCGGAGCAATACCCGCTCACCAACCATAAATGCTACATCTCGAACCTTGCGATCTGCATAACTCTTCTACCTAGAGTGAGCTGAACGAAGCCTATCCTAAATGATCTTGACCTTGTCCAAGGCCTCCTGAACCAAATCCGTACCTAACAACCGAGCCTCCCCCGACTCAAACTATCCAACCGGAGATCGACACCGTCTACCATATAAAGCCTCATAAGGAGCCATCTGGATGCTCGACTGGTAGCTGCTGTTGTAGGCAAACTCTGCTAATGGCAAGAACTGATCCCAAGATCCTCCAAACTCAATCACACACGCACGGAGCATATCCTCAAGAATCTGAATAGTGTGCTCGGACTGTCCGTCCGTCTGGGGGTGAAATGTTGTGCTCAACTCCACTCGAGTACCTAACTCCTGCTGCACAGCTCTCCAGAACCGCGATGTAAACTGAGTACCTCTGTCTGAAATAATAGAAACTGGAATACCATGCAGACGGACGATCTCCCGGATATAAATCTCTTCCAACCGCTCCGATGAATAAGTGGTACACACAGGAATGAAATGAGCGGACTTGGTCAACCGATCCACAATGACCCAAATGGCATCAAACTTCTTCAAGGTCCGTGGGAGTCCAGATACGAAGTCCATGGTGATGCGCTCCCATTTCCACTCCGGAATCTCTATTTGCTGAAGCAACCCACCCGACCGCTGGTGCTCATACTTCACCTGCTGGCAGTTGAGGCATCTAGACACATACCCAACTATATCTTTCTTCATCCGCCTCCACCAATAGTGCTTCCTCAAGTCCTGATACATCTTCGCGGCACCCGGATGGATGGAATACCGCGAACTGTGGGCCTCTGCTAAAATCAACTCTCGAAGCTCATCAACATTGGGCACACAAATCCGGACCTACATCCTCAATACCCCATCATCTCCGATGGTCACATCTCTGGCATCACCGCGATGGACCTTGTCCTTAAGGACAAGTAAATGAGGGTCATCATACTGCCGCTCCCTGATACGATCAAATAGGGAAGACTGGGAAACCACACAAGATAGAACCCGACTGGGTTCCGAAAGATCCAATCTCACAAACTGGCTGGCTAAGGCCTTAACATCCATCGCCATAGGCCTCTCTGAAGCTGGTAAATATACCAAACTCCCCAAACTCTCTGCCCGGCGACTCAAGGCATCCGCCACCACATTGGCCTTGACCGGGTGATACAGAATAGTAATGTCATAGTCCTTTAGCAACTCCAACCATCTCCTCTGGCGCAAATTTAGATCCTTCTGCTTGAACAAGTGCTGCAAACTCCGGTGGTCAGTATAGATCTCACAAGGCACACCGTACAAATAATGACGCCAGATCTTCAAGGCATGAACAATAGCAGCTAACTCAAGGTCGTGGATAGGGTAGTTCTTCTCATGTATCTTCAATTGTCTGGACGCGTAGGCAATCACCCTACCGTCCTACATCAACACCGCTCCAAGGCCAACTCTCGAGGCATCACAATAGACAGTGTAAGATCCCGAACCGGTAGGCAATATCAAAATTGGGGCTGTAGTCAAAGATGTCTTGAGCTTCTGAAAGCTCGCCTCACACTCCTCTATCCACTGAAATGGGGCACCCTTCTGGGTCAATCTAGTCATAGGGGCCGCAATCGATGAAAACCCCTCCACGAAACGACGGTAGTAGCCCGCCAAACCAAGGAAACTACAAATCTCTGTAGCTGAGGACGGCCTGGGCCAATTCTGCACGGCCTCTATCTTCCTCGGATCTACCCGAATGCCCTCGCTCGAAATCACGTGGCCTAAGAATGCCACCGAACTCAACCAAAACTCACATTTTGAGAACTTTGCATATAGCTTCTTCTCTCTCAGGATCTGAAGCACGGTCCTCAAGTGCTGCTCATGATCTTCCCGACTCCGGGAATACACCAGAATATCATCAATAAAAACAATAACGAACGAGTCCAGATATGGCCTGAACACATTGTGCATCAAATGCATGAAAGCTGCTGGGGCATTGGTCAGCCCAAATGACATAACAAGGAACTCGTAATGACCATATCGAGTCCTGAAGGCAGTCTTCGGGATATCTGGCTCCCGAATCTTCAACTGATGGTAACCTGAGCGCAAGTCAATCTTAGAGAACACCTGTGCGCCTTGAAGCTGGTCAAACAGATCATCAATACGAGGAAAAGGATAACGGTTCTTCACTGTAACCTTGTTCAACTGGCGATAATCAATACACATACGCATAGAACCATCCTTCTTCTTCACAAACAAGACAGGAGCACCCCACAGTGAAACACTGGGTCGAACAAAACCCTTATCAAGCAATTCCTGCAACCGATCTTTCAACTCCTTCAACTCAGGAGGAGCCATGCGATATGGAGGAATAGAAATGAGCTGAGTGCCCGGCAACAGATCAATGCCAAAATCAATGTCCCTATCGGGCGGCATGCCCGGAAGATCAGCTGGAAACACATCGGGATAATCCCGTACCACTGGGACTGAATCAATAGAAGGGGGTATCAACACTGATATCTCTCACATAAGCTAAATACGCGCCACACCCCTTCTCAACCATACGCTGGGCCTTAAGGAAAAAGATAACTCTACTGGGAGTGTGATCTAAAGTACCACTCCACTCAACACGCGGAATACCTGGCATAGCCAGCGTCACGGTCTTGGCGTGACAAACATGAATAGCAAAATGGGGCGACAACCAATCCATTCCCAAGATAATATCAAAATCAACCTTGTTGAGTAACAATAAATCTGCTCTGGTCTCAAAACCACGAAGAGTAACCAAACATGACCGATAAACGCGGTCCACAACAAGAGAATCCCCCCATAAGAGTAGGAACATAAACAAGAAAAACTTAAGGAAATCCCGAGGTACACCAAATGCGGAGCAAAATAAGAAGACACATAAGAACAAGTAGAGTCTAGATCGAATAGAACCGATACCCCTCTATAACAAACCATGACAATACCTGTGATGACAGAATCGGAGGCAGCAGCTTTGGTACGGGTAGGCAGGGTAGCAACTGGGGCTGTAACCATAGCCTGAGAACTCTGCGGGGCGCGCTGTGGCCGAGAAGTCTGTGGAGGTGCACTCCTCCCGAGTCTAGGGCAATACCTCACCACATGGCGTATGTCACCACACTCAAAGCAACCTCGCGACTGACGTGGCAGTGGGAACTGTGCGGTACGGGTACTCCAAGACCCCTGAACACCTGAAACTCTGTGGGAACTCTAAGATGCAAACTGAGCTGGCTGACTCATCTGTCCTCTCTCTCCTGGACCCACCTGTCCCCTACTCGGCGAGAGGTCCTCACCACTTGCTGAACTGGGACCACAGGCTATGTCGCTATGACACCTGGAACCTGACCAATGGAAACTCGCTGCTCTGGAGTGGGGGCGGCATGCCAAAGTCTCCTGAAGAGCTGGAGTAGTAGTAGCCGTAGGCGTGTCAGGTGACTGAACTCCGGTTGAATCTGTTGATGGTACCTCGGCGACAGCTCGCGCAGGTGCTCTCGCTGCACCACGTGCGCGTCCTCGGCCTCTACCCCGGCCCCGGCCTCTGACGGCTGCAGTAGGGGGCGCGGGTGCCTGATCATCTCGAGTAGCACGTGTCCTCACTATCTTTGAGAGAATAGAAGGCATAAGTTTAAGATTGTGATGTCAAAAATTCTCGCACGACAGGGAATCAAATGAAGTGAAATTTTCCTAACGGTTACATAGCCTCTCGTAGATAAGTACAGACGTCTCCGTACCGATCAGCAAGACTCTAATAAACCGGCCTGTGTTCCGTGACTCCTATGAACCTAGAGCTCTGATACCAACTTGTCACGACCCCAGTTCGCCCTCCGTGAACATGTCGTGATGGCACCTAGTCCCTACGACTAGGTAAGCCTAACAATGCGGAAATAATATAACTTGCGAAAACAATTAATTAAACTAAGCAAAAATAGAAGGAAACTATATATAAGTGCCACTTGGCATATACAACTCAAACGCGGAAGTCTACAATCATCCCAAAACCCAAAAACTCACAGGAAACACACGCTAATAGAACTGTAATACACTGCTCTAAACTCCAGAATTTGTCTAAACAAAAGTACAAAAGAAGTCTAAACTCTACAAGATAGAGTAAGAAGGAGACTCTTCGGTCTGCGGACGTTGCAGATGTACCTCAAAGTCTCCGTAGCTCTCCCTGCCTCAAGGATAGTGCGCCTGAGTGGAGGTACCTGGATCTGCACATGAAAAACATGAGCAGAAAGGGCATGAGTACACCACAGCGGTACTCAGTAAGTGCCAAGCCTAACCTCGGTTGGGTAGTGACGAGGAAGGTCAGGGCCCTACTGAGATAAAATATAATAATAAACCTTGCAACAGTATAAAAAAATAAACAGAAATAACTAATAAAATTATGAAGTAAGACAAGTTATACGAAGCAACAATAGCACGCAGAGAATAAGGTAACACAGAGTGAAACAACTCAATATTAGTACCAACAACGAGGATCTCCCAGGATACCGTCCTGTAGTCCATTTCATCAACTCTCCGAGGAGCTCCCGGGATACCGTCCCGTAGTCCACCACATGAGTATATCCGAAGGATCTCCCGGGATACCGTCCCGTAGTCCAACTATCAATGTGCAGGGGGGATCTATCGGGAATCTAACCCGCAGTCCCAAAGTAAATATGCAGGGGGATCTATCGGAAATCTAACCCGCAGTCCCAAAGTAAATGTGCAGGGGGATCTATCGGGAATCTAACCCGCAGTCCCAAAGTAAATGTGCAGGGGAATCTATCGGGAATCGAACCCGCAGTCCCAAAGTAAACAAACAAGGGGGAGCTACCGGAATCCCACATCCGTAGTCCCAATGTAAATGCGCAACCACAACCAGAAGACATTCGGAAATGAAGTACGAAAATACAAACAACAGGTAATACTAGCCTAACATGCTTCACGTAGTACAATTAAGGCAACTTAAGTAAATAGGCAATTTAAATCAACCAAGCATACTTTTCTAATCTAACACAGGTTATAATTGCAAGTAGAATAAAGCAAATTCGAAAGAGACTCAGTCTCAATATCTTAAGTAAAAACCCGGTTTCAACAATTAGATCAAGGACGCGCCCGTCACCTCACGTACAAGGCATTCAATTACCAAATATCATGTCCTAAGGGGAAAGGTCCCCCACACAAGGTTAGACAAGCCACTTACCTCAACCGGTTCCAAAAATCAACTTGAAATCACTCTTTTTCCACGAGTATCCGACTCCAAATGGCCCAAATCTATTCATTTCAATTACATCTTGTAAATAACATCTCAAGCAACTAATTCTACTATTTAATTTACAGCTAAGACGCAAATTTAGGTAAAATAACCAAAACGCCCCTCAGGCCAACGTGGTCAAAACCCGGGGTTTGAACCAAAACCCGGTTACACATTCCCCCACGAACCCAAATATATGATTTTTTTCGAAATCGGACCTCAAATTGAGGTCCAAATCCCCAATTTTAGAAAAACCTAGGTTCTACCCCAAACCCCCAATTTCACCCATGAATTTCATTGATTTTAGGTGGAAAACATGTTAAATGATGTAAATGATTGAAGGAATTTAGTAACAATCGACTTACAAATGATTTGGAAGAAGTTTTGTCCTTGAAAAATTGCCTATGGGGTTTGGGTCTTGAAAGAATGGTGAAAAATGGTGGAAAATCGACTAAGTATGAAATTGCTGGGTCTCAGTTATCGCAATTGTGAACTGGGGTTCGCAATTGCGAACACCGACCAAATATGGTAATTGCGAAGCTGGGTTCGCATTTGCGAACCCTTACTATTTTGCCAGATTTCGCATTTGCGAACATAAAGATCGCATTTGCGATCAGCCTAATTTCGCATTTGCGAGCACAATGATCGCATTTGCGATCAGTGCCCAGGAATCCCTCGTTCGCATTTGCGAGAAAATGGATCGCATTTGCGATCATATGCCCAGGCCCAAGGCTTTGCAATTGCGATGCATAGCTCGCAATTGCGAGGCTCATCTTCGCAAATGCGAAGATCATAGAGGAAATCATACCAGATTTTTTTCAAGTTCAAAAATGCAATCTGACACCTATCCAAAACTCACCCGATCCCTCGGGGATCCAAACCAAATAAGCACACAACCTCAAGAACATCCTACGGACTTATCCGTGCGATCAAATCGCCAAAATAACATCATATACATCGAATCGAGCCTCAAAACTCATGATTTCCTCCAAATTTTCATAAAACATCAAATTCCCATTTTAAGTCCGAAACACGTCAAACGACGTCCGTTTTCAACCAAACTTTACAGAAAGCGCTTAAACCATATATAAGACTTGTACCGGGCGCCGGAACCAAAATACGGGCCCGATACCATAGTCTTTTAATCAAATTTCTTTTCCAATTTCCTTAATTATTTTTAAAAAATAATTTTACACAAAAATTTATTTCTCGGGCTCTGGACCTCGGAATTCGATTCCGGGCATACTCCCAAGTCTTATATTTTCCTACGGACCCTCCGAGACCGTCAAATCACGGGTCCGGGTCCGTTTACCCAAAAAGTTGACCGGAGTCAAATTTATTCAACTTAATATCAAAATTTAGCATTTTTCTCACAGAATTCATATCTAAGCTTTCCGGCTACGCGTCCGGACTGCGCACGCAAATCGAGGCAACCCCAGATGAGGTTTTCAAGGCCTGGGAAGTATAGAATGGGTAAGAAGCAAGTGATGACCCCTTTGGGTCGTCACAATACTAGACCAGGTGCGAGAGGAAGGGATGCTGCTATTGATGGACCGGTGCTACCTTTGGATCTAATAATCATGGAAGACGTAATTGAAATATGCACCTAGAATTAAATCACATTGGTATAAAGAGCAGGAGATGAAAAAGAGGAGGAAAAAAGCAAGGAACTGAGCGATGAAGCGAGGTTTGGAACCCTTCAATTACAAAGTGGAAGATGCCTCTCACAATGGGTAGGATTACTATATTTCTTATATTTGAATCTTCTATTTGATAATATATATAGGGAGTTGGGGTAGGTTGAAGGGGAGGGGAAGTAAATTTAAACATAGTGCCACCATAACCCTATGAAAACGAGATTGGGTTTGTGTGTGTAGACTATCCTTGGAAGTGTCTATTCTACCAAACCACGGGACGCAGCCGTAGATCGAGCCCTGGAAGTCCTCTCCTCATGGCTCCCTGTGTTGATATTCGAGGAAGTTGCTCTCAACACGAGGGATATACAAGAAAGACCTGCTTTAGATCCCTAAGTCTCCATGGTCGTTCTTTTTAACATCTCTTTCTATTCTTATAATGTAATGCTATCAGTCACCTCGTACTACTCCCCATTGCGCATCATGTGTAACATCAAGGAAAGGGAAGGCTCATACAACCGCGGCGGGAGGTCGTCTCCCAACACATTCCCCGTATAGTTATCTTCCACACATTGAGGCATATCTTTTGGAGATGGTCACGTCAGCGGCGGCAAGTGGATCATTCATGTGCCGACTTAACTGAAAAAGAAAGATTCCCTTTTGTTACCGACCTTCTTCCCTTGACTGGTATTTTAGGTCTTCTTATCCAAGAGGACACTTTTATCTTGCTTTAGAGGCCCGAATGCTTATCATTCTTGCCTTCTAAACTTCTTTATATCGAGGGATGAGAAACCATATTATCCTGCATTCCTTAAACCTATGTAGTGAGTCGTGTAGGTGGCGTGTTTAAATTAGGACCATACATTGGGATTCTTTTCTCCTCATCACTAGCCAGTCAGGATGCTATCTCTCTTCTCCTTTGTCACTCAACCATCAAAATATGGTATATAATTAACAAACTCTTTTTTTGATATTTACTTAAAACTATACTGAACCACCTATCTATTCGTTTTTTGGCGTTGTCCTGACACTGATGAGAATTACTTAGGCCTTCATTCATGATACTCTGCTAGGATCTGCAGTGCTTCAGTAGGACCTAGGCACTGATGTGAGGTTAAAGTTTTAACCAATGCAACATACTATCCATAAACATTGTACTCCCATAATATAATAAGGCAAGAAAGCGGAAAATTTTAAAAAAGTAAAACGGAAAAAGTGCCCCCTTTTGATTAGCCTGTTTCCAAGAGAGAGAAGGTCTTATGGCAATCTCAGGCATACTCAAAATCAGTTATTTGGCCTGATCGAGCAACCTATGAACAGTTGTCGCCTACATAACCTACCTCACAGACCAAGGGAAGAAGGTATCAGATCACTTTTGAGAGCCCTTTTGTTAAACCAGTTCCTTTATACTTTTTGAATGAATTACAGTCAGTAAAGTAAACTGGTGGAAGGGGTCCATAAAATAAAAATTGGCTTCTTTTTCTTTCTTATATTTGTAGAATAGAGAAAGAGTCGAAACTAAGGGTACGCTCTCTAGAAGATTTTCTCGGAGCTTCTTTTTTTCACTTGGTCACCTGCTATCTTGAAACCTCTTTGCTTGCGGCGGCAGGAGTGGAAAGAGCGTTTCGCGAAAGAATCGTGTGGCGCGATGAAAGGTTTCCCGTTGGGGTTTCCGACCCTCCAGGTCTCTACCTACTTGTGGAATAGGGGGTTCCTTGATATTAAGGTGTTAAGGCGGTCGAAGAAGGCCACAGGTGGAAGCAACCGATGCTTTGATCATTCAATTGACTCCTTGCTGCCGGTCTGTGCTTGCTGTCATGTTGGCAAAAGCAGGGGTTTCGGTCGGTTTTACCTACTATTGGATTTCAACTAATGAATCTCGCCGTATGAAAGCGATACTCTAACCGCTGAGTCAAGTAGGTCAAGCTGAGTCAAGTAATCCTATAAGAGAAAGCCGCGAAACCAAAGTAGCCCTTACTATACAAGGGCGGCGGAGCGCTAAGAGAAAGTGTTATCACTATACGAAATGAAGCAGCGGCTAGCACGCTAAGCTAAGATCAACCAATGTTCGAACACGGAGCCTTTCTTTCTCGCTCATCTGTCTTAATAAGTGGATTCTGACTCACGCAGTCGTTTTCTGCTGCATTGGTCTTTTCACTCTCCACTCTCCACCATAACAAAATGTTTCCACTATATCTCAGGAGTAGTCAAAGGAAGTACGGCGGGTCCGAGTAGGAAGAAATTTACTAAGAAGTTGAACTACAACCGCTGGGGTCAAATAATATCGAATGATAACGAAGAATACATAAAGGAAGATAATCATCGTTTTTGAACAAGATAGACCTCCATATATTTGACAAAGTTGAACTATAAATAAAAATGTTAGGATCCTGAGATTTATCCCCTTTTCGGCAGAGGGTCTGGGAGGATGGAACCTCTTCTCCTTCATAGAGATGTGTATCTCCCTCTGTGTTCCCCTCAACCCCCTTTTCTTATTCTCTCTCATGATATTTATACAAAACACTTCCTTTATCCAGCGGTCCTTAACCGGAGTACCTAAGTTCTTGGAATATCTTCTAGAGTATTCCCCTGAAATGTCTAAGTGTCGAACTAGCCGTTCGGGCCGAACTGAGTGCTCGACCTCGACCGTAGCTGAATCTTTCGTAGATATATTGCTTCATGTACATGACTTCGGCTTGGTTGACTCCTGGTTGTCTTTCCTCAAGTAGAATTCCTTTGATCAGATTTTGACCTATACAATGTTGTCTTCCTCCATCGTGTTGATTGCATGGACGTCCATACTTTGCTAGAGTATCAGCCACAATATTGATTTAGTTCAAGTGTTTGTAGACACATGAGCTCTGCCTTTGGAAGGAGACAAGTAAAAACAATCGCAATCTTTATCATTATTCGTCACTCTTATGTTTGTTGATATAGTTGTGATTCTTTGATTAAGGAAACTGCACCCATAGCGAATTTGGAAAGTAAATTACTACTACACTAATCGGAATCCTGTCTCTTTCTGTTGATCGGCTTGTCAATAATGCTTACTTTTCTCGTCAATGTCTCCTCAGCAGGCATCTTAACAGCGTCCCCTTTGGGAAGTCCGCAATAAGCTCAGTCAAAGGGGCACAAAAGAGATAAAAATAAAATGGCAAACATAATAGTGAGTGACAAGGCAAGTGGAAAAATGGGAAACATAAAAAGTTATTACGACAATTATTTAAAAACGAAAAAAACCCTATGCGAGGGGTGCTAGGATGGCCGAACCATAACCTTTCATTTTTGTAAGAGGAAGTTTTCACGGCTCGAACCCGTGACCTCCTGGTCACATGACAATAGCTTTACCGGTTACGCCAAGACTCTCCTTCATTATCTGAAAGCGAGATACAAGAAAATAGCAATATATTAACACAACCGACATATTGTTGAAAAAATCCCGGATAAGGTCATAAGCTCCAAAACATCAGGGTAAAAGAGAACATTTTGGCACAGGGAGAGGATCTCCAAAAAATCTTCAAGAGCTTCTTCATCAATCTTTCTGGATAGTTGCATCTTGTGTACCAACACTTGGGATAATTTTCTCCAGCACTAGTACATTCCCAAGCGAAAAATATATTGTATGACAAAGTTGGTAGTTATTGTTTGACAAAAAAAGATGTCAATAATCAACTATAATGTAAGAATGATCATTCTGATATCTTCATCACTCTCTATAAAAGAAAACGAAATGGAGAAGAAGGAATCTTCATTTGTATCCTCAAATCATCTTATCCTCAATTCAGAAATGAATTAAGCGATTTCTGCAATCAGTAAGTCAGTATTGTCGTTTAGAGTGTCTCTACAAGATACTGAGACTCTTGGCTAAAAAGGACCAAGCAAGTATAGAGTAAGTTGCAATTCAAGAAACAAAAATTCGAATTTTCGTTCGGATTTTGATTTTTCCCAAACTATGCCCACTCCTAAGATTCGCTGCAGCTGGCCGGAGGTGGAGACACCTCTAATATATACAAATGTATGTAATAAACATAGCGAGCTTGCGACTACCAAAGAGAAAGATGAACTTTTGGCTGAGAAGTGTCAACTGAGAGTGGTTGGTAAATTCTCTAAGAACTTGATCAATGGTGATGAAAAGATGATTGTTGAAGTGACTCAACAGAATAGGGAAACTCAAGCTGGGTTCAAGCACACCAGACTGGACAAAGTGAACAAGCCAAACAAGGGAAGAAAACTGGGGAAAGCAAAAATAGCTTGAAGAAGCCTAAGCCCAAATCTACAGTTCCTGAACATCCGGACGATCGTGTTAATTCAACTGGAAAAGAGCTACTGTATACGCAAATGAAGGAACTTTACTACTGAAAGGAAGAAATTCAAAACTACAATTTTTTTCGCAAAATGTGGCAGAAAAATTGAAGCCAGGATCCAAGGAACAATGATGTCATTGTTCCTTGGGCAAAGGATTGGCCAATCTGGTAAATAAATGCAGAAAGAGCCACCTGATTGTGCACTAAAAATTGAAACTTTTCTTATCAGAGAACACAAAAAAGCAGATAATTAACGGGCTTCGAGGAGAAACTCCATTGTTGTTGCTAATGGAATGAACCAAGCAGCTGCCTGAAATGGGTATACTTATTCAGGACAGCATCACAATGAACAACAATCTACCAATCAAAGAGATGCACATTGCCAGTGGGGAAAGGTTGGTTAGCCTTCTCTGAAGGTTACTAGGAGCATAAAAAAGAATTCAAAAGACTCCACTCCTAATGTTTCTCACTGCTATCATGGAATATTAGGAGTCACTCAAACAACCAACACATATTGCCTCTTTTTCTGGTCAAAAGTAAGAAAAAATTATTTCAACCAAAGTATTTCAATATACAAGCTAACTCTTAGTCAAGAGTTAGTTCTCAAAAACAAAACAAACTGTAACTACAGATAAACAAATTTGGCCTTCAAGGAAGGATATGTACTAGGACCTCTTCATATAGACAGCGCTAAACTGTACATCTATTTAAAGTATCTAGCTGACTCCTCCATTTACAGTCCAACAATATGAAATTGAATAGTAATCTCTTTAGTCCTCTGCGTTACTGCCCCTGCAACAGCCTGCGTGCAACAAATTGCCTTATGTATATACAAAAAGGAGAAAGCTTAGCACCAAGCTGGTGCCAGCTAAGGCATTACAAGAATCAGAAATCCTTCTGTACCGCAAACAAAAGAGAAGGATTGTTGCAGCAAAAGATCCTACATTTGCAAGGATTTTATGAAGTCTAACATACTATCTTCATCATTTACGTCCTGTAGATTGCACCAAAACTGCGGAAGCCATAGACATTTGTTTTTAAGCTGCTGTACACTAACTATACTATACAACTTACAAGTATAAAAGGGTCAATGAATATAGACAATTGAAGCATTTGGAGGGGACCTTGGAAAGCTTTCAAAATAAGCCTGAATCATATCAATCTCTTCAATTTTGGCAGCAAAAGTTAACTTCTCCAGCACATCCGCATTCTTGAGCAAATACTTCACCAATGGCAGCACAAATCCATTTACACTTAGCAGTCCATGAAAGTGAATAATTATGGTCTTCAAATGTAGCAGCGAGCAATTAAAAACACTTGTCTCAAACTTCTTCTAATCATCATTATCATCCATTATGAACCCTAAGTATAGAAACTGCAAAAAAGAAATAGCTTAAGACAATTATTCTCCTTAAATGGAAACAACAAAAATCAAAGCTTCATTGCAGCAGATCAAAGAGTTCACTGAAGAAACTAGCTTAATCATAGAATCAGTTTGATAATAACAACATGAAAATTTCTGTCAAAGCAACTAAACATGCTGAGGCCGTACAACATAGCAATAAGCATCCCTGTTAACAGTGATGCTAATTAGTGAAAAAGTTCAAGGAACAGCAAAAGCATTACATACATAAGTTCCCAGAAAACATATTTATCTTTTGTTCTGATAAGCTACTTTATCGCAAACAACACCAAGCGGGTGCTAAGTTACAAATAACTTAAATTACAAATCCCTGTCCACCAAAATCTTTAAGGACATGAAACCTAAAAGAGAGCCACACTCATCTACATTTTGCATTTTACACAAAGGTATTAAAACTGTAAGTATCGGTACTTCAAACATTGCATTGCCTCCTTTATCAAAAACAGTATGCCCTCTCCCCCATTTCATCAGCATGTCACGATGAATCTTGTCTGTTTTCCATCTTTCCTCGCCACCTTATCAGCCTATCTAGTTCTGTAGTCACTAGTCAGATATTCAACCCCTTCTATATTACTAACGAACTGGACTAATCTTTCAACTTTATTGCTTCTAAAGCTGATGTTCTAAACACCCCAATTTCTGTAGTCTGCAACATAGTTGTGTTTATCCATTACCAATCGATACGTCGAAGATGGCAGACCTACTTTCATAGTCTCTTGAACGAGGTGAGGGACAGGAGCATTGTACTGGGTGATTTGGAACCCTCCGGGAGTCGTTGTGACTTTGGGTATTGTAGGCGCATTAGAGTTGATGAAGTTGAGGGGGCTATACGTAAGATGAGCAGGGGCAAAGTGACCGGACAGGATGAAATTCTGGTGGAGATTCGGAAGAGTGCGGGCTAGGTAGGCCTGGAGTGGCTCACTAGATTATTTAATGTCAGTTTTAGAACGAAGAAGATGCCCGAAGAGTGGAGGTGGAGCACGATGGTTCCTTTATACAAGAACAAGGGTGATATCCAAAATTGCAATAAGTATCGGGGTATCAAGTTGCTTAGCCATGAGGATGTTGAGATGGATGTGTGGGCACACCAGGTTAGATAGGATCATAAATGAGGTTACTCGCGACAAGGTGGGTGTGGCCCCTATTGAGGACAGGATGCGGGAAGCGCGTCTGAGGTGGTTTGGTCATGTGAGGAGGAGGAGCACAGACGCCCCGGTGAGGAGGTGTGAGAGGTTGACATTGGAGGACCTACGGAGAGGTAGAGGTAGGCCAAATAAGAGTTGGGGAGAGGTGATTAGGCAAGACATAGCACAGCTTCAGCTGACCGAGGACGTGACCCTTGATAGGAAGGTATAGAGGTCGAGGATTAGGGTAGTAGAGTAGGTAGTCTAGAGTGTTCATAACAAGAGTATTGGCACGCAGTCTCGCTTTCTGTTGGTAGTAGGTTTTTATGAATAATCGTTGTTTTCTTTCATTGTTGATCACCTTACTGTCTTGTTGTTTTTTATTCTGCTTTTATATGGCTTTTTGGTACTATCCCTTCTTGTCTATATTTTCATTAATGTGGTGCTTATGCTTTCTTGAGCCGAGGGTCTATTGGAAACAACCCCTCTATCCTCACAAGGTAGGGATAAGGTTTGCGTACACACTACCCTCCCCAGACCCCACAATGTGGGATAATACTAGGTAAGTTGTTGTTGTTGTAATTTGTACAAGTCCAGAAGGGTATTCTTCAGTAGGTCTACCTAGCTCCCAAACCTAGGGGTTTACAACATTCATCTTTCATTCCATATTTTGCTCTAATGACACACTTCCAGAGTTTATCATCCTGTTTAGGCGTAAGTCATTTTTGTGATGCGGTCCAGATTCATCGCCCTAAGTCCACCATTTTTTTCTAGTTTCATTCACTATTGACCATTTCATTAAGTGAAACTTCTTCATTGGATTACTATCCAACAAAAAAGTCCCTTCTAATTTAATCGATCTAATTCTCCACTTGCTTAAACTTGAAGAAAAGAGACATTATATAGGTGGGTATACTATCAAGTAAACTGCTAATCCGTGTTATCCTTCCCCAAAAGAGAGATCAGGATTTTCCATGATGCCAACTTTCTGTCAAACTTCTCTATAAATCCCTGCCATACCTTCTATTTTATGCTTTGCACCCAATGGAGATCCCTGATTGGTTGTAGGAACTCCGCCACTCTGCATCAGGAAACAAAGAGCTCTTCAGCAGGCTTATGTGAAGGACTGAATTAAGAAAGAGCTCTTAATTCCGTTTCCACTGTGTCACAGTAAGTAACAGTTATACTGCATATAGTATGTGTGAAACTGTCAGGATGTTGTTCCCCCATACTGATTATCCAATTTTTTTTCCCACAGCGGTTGTTAGCTATCTGCTTAGAAACTCCACTAGTGTCTTAATACGCTGGATCTATGAGAAAAAAACTATTTGGTTCTCATTGATCAATAGTCAATACTGATGAACACGAAATACATGCTTTTGTGTGGTTGGTCATGAATGAAGAAACAGAAGTAAAGGTAAAAGGAGACATACCTTTGGGTTGCGAGTTTTCCAGTCAATGACCAAATTCTCAAGATATGCTGCACTCTGTAACAAGCTGCAGTTCATGTACCCCATATTTTTGCCTATAAATCTGCCCTTGCTTGAGATAAAAATTCTAAGATCGGAGACACCAATGCTCGGCTACTACCAAAATCGACACGAAATTGGATGATTCGGCGTCGACAATAATGAAGAAGATGAGTGTCAATGGCTCTAATGGAAAGCCATCACTTGAGGTGATGGAATTCTTCCCAGGCCCTATGTTTCAGAGCACTCCCAAGGATCTAGGTCGCTATCACAACCACAATATTGGCCTCCTAAACTCCAGCCTTTGGAGGTGTGACAACTACTTTAATGTAGATTTACGGTTCGACTCAGAAATTGGAAACAGCCACACTACATTTAGAGAATGCAGAACCGTAGTATTTTTCACTCCTATTAAGTCCAAAACATATGCGGTTGATTAATGTAACAACCTGACCTCTCTTTTTGAGCATATATGTTCCGTTGTTTGATCTAAGGCTTTCCAGCGGTTCATATTATATGTTTGGACTTGTGTGCATGTTGGTTTGAAAACCAGGAGGCTCGAGATGAGTTCGGCACCATAGCATGTAACTAGTGAGCTTAAGGATTTCAAATGTTGACTTTAAGTCTCGATTTGAGTAATTGCGTTTTGGTTCGTGTTTTGAGATCTTGGATAGGTCCATAAAATATTTTTGGATTTGTGTATGGTTGGTTTTAGTCCCGAGGGGCTCGGGGCATTCAGTGCTATTGCATGAAAATTGAAATTTTTAAGTTCTTTAAGTTGACTTGAGGTATTGTTTGGAGTTGTATCGTTTCCCTTCACATATCGAGCCTTTGGATAAGTCCATGAAGGGTATTTGTACCAGGTGAGATGGTTAGGAGGGGTACCGAGAGGCCCGTATGAGTTTTTATGTGTCGGAAGGAGACTTTAAGAGAAAAAACAAAAAACTGCAGAACAACGGACCTAACACGTCGCAGATAGTGATGGCAAAATGGATAAAAAAATAGTTATCCATCCATATTATCCACTAAATGGGTTGGATAATGAACTTTTTAAAAATGGCTCAAATATGAATAAGAACCATATTATCCACTGAAAAAATGGATAACCAATGGATAACTAATGAGATTAACTTTTCCATTTGTAAAGACTCAAATGAGGGGTTCCTCAAGTTGGGAGACTAGGAATTCTACCAAAAGTAATCATATTCAAGAAGCCATGGATAATATGGATATCCATATTGATATCCATATTATCCGCCGGTTAACCCATTTTCTATCCGTATTAAATACAGGTTGAGTCGGATAATTTATTCGTTTTTGCATTACCCGTTTTTTACCTGTCCATATCTGACTCAGCCCCCTCGTTTGCCACCCCTAGTCGTGTTAATGCAGATATCTAACAGGGCTTCAGCCTTCGAATATAAATAGCTCTATTTCGTGGCTAGACTATATTTTCACTATTTTTATATCACAGTTTTGGGGATCTTGCGCTAAATCTTCCTCTCGAGGTAGTAGAATTGGTTAACCAACAAGATAAGAGTGTGAAAGCCAATAACAAGAAACATAAATGATAGGCCAAAGGTGGCGGGTTAGTGATAATAGGTGAATTAGACTATAATTGGACCCTAAAGAACCACATTTTTTGTATAGCTTTGTGGTAAAAAGTGATAACCAAATGCTCTGATTAGTGCTTTTCATGCTTTGCAGGCTATATCCAACAAAAGAAGTCGATGGAGCAAGTTTGGGATCAATTACGGAGAAAAGGAGGCCAATCAAACAATGCCCACGAAATGCACCAAGTAAAGAGACAAAAGCAGAGCTGAACTTGGCCTGCCGCGGTCAGACCGTAACCGCGGTAGGACCGCGGCAGAGTAGAGCTGCAGATTCAGAGGACCTCTTTGGCCGCGGTCCTGGCATAACCGCGGTAGGACCGCGGCAGAACGCGAAAAAGCTAGGGACGAAAGTGTCAAGTCGGGAAAACTTGGTGTAAAACCCTTATAAAAAGTAGGAATTCGGTCACATTAGGTCAGATTTTACTTTGGAGAGTACTTTGGCAAGAGAAACAAGTGTGAGAGATCACCAAAAACAACATTATTCTTATTCTCTTTTATTTTTCTTGCAATCTTTAATTATGAATCTTCTAGTAGTTTATTCCTCCACTGTTATGAGTAGCTAAATACCTTAATCTAAGGTTTTGGTGGAACCCGTTGGGGATAACTTGGTTGTTTTATTAATATAGTTGGATTTGGTTGTTAATCTCTATTTGTTCATCTATGTTTTGATTGTGGTTTGTTGAAAGGGCCCTCAACTATCCGTTCCTATTTATTATGTATCTACTTTAGAGAGAGTGCATATTTAGGTGATTGTATGAACAACATCACTCCCGGAGTATAGACGAGAGTCATAACCGAGGGTTTAGAGGTTGGATTAGAGATAACGATACCCCGGGTGCAATCAAAGTGAACTGTATTGTGAATCTAGCTAGCGTAGCTTGAGAGAGTGCATCTAGTAAATTATCATAATTGCTTGAGAAAGATTTATGATAGCTGGAGCGTTCATGATTGATAGAGACAATTAAATCATAGTTATAAGACATATACAACCAAGGGAATTACCAACAGGGGAAACCATTGCCTTAGACCTTATTCCAATTGTTTACACATCAAGTTTAGTTAATTTTCAGCTGTTGATTACTTTCAGTCTTTAGTTGTTAGAAAAATCAACCATTGTGAATCAAAAAGTTTGGGGAAACAGATTGTATGAATTTAGTAAATCTGACAATAGTAATTGATAGGTTAATTCTCTGTGGTTCGACTCTGGGCATAAATACTCAGATTATATTTGCAACGCCCGCGTAGTCTTTTGCGAGACTTAGTTGAGCGTGATCAAATTTTGGCGCCGTTGCCGGGGAATTAACGGTGTTATCAATTACAATTGAAAGAAGTACAAAAATTCTAAGTGTAGTCAGTTTTCTCTATACCCAATTTTTTCATTGAAATTCTAACGTTTGAACTCTTGTGGAAAGCAGGTATATGCCTAGAAGTTCCTCGAGGACTGGAGAACTGCTAGAAGGACTTTCAGACCCCGAGAAAACATTCAGGGCATTGAACCGTGCTAACAAGAGGCTCCAACAATCACATCAGTCACACCAGCTCGAATTTAATGGGTGACGCAGAAAACAACATTGGAAACGTTGGGGATCTGCCGGAAAACCCCAACGTAAGAGTAGTGGCACCACTTGTGCCTGAAGCTGCACTTTATGACTGGGCACAGCCCACAGCTGATAACTTGGCCACTGCCATAGTTGTGCCCGCAATTCAAGCGGAGACCTTCCAGATAACCAACAACATGCTGCATCTCCTGCAGAATAAAGGATTGTTCTCCGGATCACACATTGAAGACCCTCAGCAGCACCTGAAAAATTTTCTATCAATTTGTGTGACCCAAAGGCAGCCAAATGTGACCCCGGAAGCTATCAAGCTGCTGCTGTTCCCATTCTCCGTGACCGGGGAAGCTCAGACTTGGTTAAATTCGCTCCCTATCAATTCCATTGCCACCTGGGAGGAATTAGTCAAGCAGTTTTTGAACAAGTTCTATCCACCAAACAAGACAGCAAGACAGATTGATGAAATATTGCAGTTTAAGCAGCAGCCGACTGAGTCCTTGCAAGAAACTTGGGAAAGATTTAAAGGAATGCTAGTGAAGTGTCCTCACCATGGCATTCCAGACCAGATGCTCGGCCAGAGATTCTACATGGGGCTGGCTGACCATTTAAAAGCAAATGTGGATGCTTCAGCTGGAGGTGCATTATTGAGTAAGACATTCACCGAGTGCAAAATCCTTCTTGATAAGATGTCACAAAATTCAGGGTGGATGACTAGAGCTACAACACTGGCACCCATAGCGCATTCAGTTCCTCTTGACCCAAACAATTCACATGCAGAGAATATGGCCACACTCATGACCCAGATGAGCATATTGACGAAGAAGATTGATGAGATGGGCACAAAACAGGTGCACATCGTTGATACAACAAATGGAGGACTATGTACACTGTGTATTAATCAGTCCTATGTGTGTTCATGGAGCGGAGAAGGTGAAAATCAAGGGGCACGAGAAGATATGAATTATGTCAACAACTATGGGGGTCAGAGACAAGGAGCACAGCAGTGGAGACCGCAGCAAAACCAGCAGTACAGGCCTAATATGCAGTAGCCTGGGGGTATGCACCCTCAAAACCAATTAGTGCCAGTACCTTATCAGAAACCACAGGGTTATTCACAGCAAAATCAGCAGCAATTAGCTTATCAACCACCCCCTCAGCAGCAAGATAACAGCATGGTGGATATCAGGGGTATGCTTCAGCAACTCATTGGGTCAAATAATAAAGTGCAGGAAAAATTGACAGTGCATGATTCAGCCATAAAGAATATTGAAACGCAGCTGGGTCAGCTATCCATGGCTTTGAACAATCGTCCTCCGGGAACTTTACCTGCAGACACAAACATAAACCCCAAAGAGCAAAACCCGAATCAGCTGATGGCAGTCAGTCTCCAAAATGGTAGAGATTTAGATAGAGAGCAGGAAATTGCACAAGCCAGCAAGAATACTACACCAGCCACTCCAGTTCAATTAGAGGTAGAAGAACCAACCGAACTTACTGAAGTGGTGGTTGAGCAGAGCCAGGAGGAAAAAGGTAAAGAAAAGGAGAACGAGCAAGTTGCAGAACAGGTGGCACCTCTTGTGCCAGAAAATCCTAACAGAGAGAAGCCAGCAAGCAATGCACAAAGGGTGATACCTGCACCCTTCCCTCAGAGACTGGTCAAACAAAAGAAGGCAGACCAATACAAAAAGTTCATGGAGATGCTGCGTCAAATTCAGTTGAATATTCCTCTGATGGATGCCTTGAGGGAGATGCCCGGTTATGCCAAGATGATGAAAGATCTAATGTCACGGAAGTTTGATTTTCAGGATCTATCCACCGTAACTCTGACACAGACCTGCAGTGCAGTGGTGGCAAAACCGATGGCTCAAAATATGTCCGATCCAAGTAGCTTCACTATTCCATGCACAATTGGAAGTTATGCCTTTGCAAAGGTGTTGTGTGATTTGGGAGACAACATAAATCTGATGCCGCTGGCAGTGTACACTAAATTGAGCTAGACCGACTTCTATGCTGCTACAGCTGGCTGATCGCACTGTGAAAAGACCAACTGGTATTCTTGATGATGTGCTGGTGCAAGTGGGGAAGTTCGTGTTCCCTGCAGACTTTGTGATTCTGGATTGTCAGGTGGATGAGGAGATACCCCTTATTTTAGGGAGACCATTCTTAGCCACTGGGAGAGCACTGATAGACTGTGAGACTGGGGAACTTAAAATGAGATTGAACGATGAAGAAGTCATATTCAATGTTCAGCAATCAATGAGGAGACCCAGTGAATATGCTAATTGCTCTCTAGTGGAGGCAGTGGATGTAATCCTGCAAGAAGATGATAGGACCCTAACTGTGAAAGATCCATTGGAGGCATGTCTGACGAATTTAGAAGAAATGGATGGTGAAGGGTTAGCTGA